TTTGGGTTATATTCCCAATCCCATTGCACCTTAACCACATAATCCCTTTTGTTTTGCTTATTCATTTTTTTTATTTCTCTCTTTAATTGAATATATTGATTTCTTAACTGCTGCCCCACTTCCCTCTTTTGATACGCCTAAATATGCCTCTCTTTTGTCCATGAGATGTTTAATCCTATTGTTTCATCCATTTGGGATCTTTTTGTTAGATCCAATTTTCCAACTCGAACAAAAGTTGTCTTGCAACTTAAACTATGGCGCTGAATTGTCCATATTGGCAACCAAGATCACCTACCTGACCCATAGTCAGTCATCCCAATTAGCCCACACAGTCAATTTTACAGTCCCATGAAATTTGTCCAAGCGAATGTCTGGCCAGAGATTTAATGCAGTTATCTGGTAATTCCATGATATATTGAAACGAAGTGATTGTGTTCACTTTCCCCTTTTCCCACCCAAGCTCATTAACCTCAAGAGTTATTAATAGTGATTGTTGTAAGAACCAAGTCAAGTAATTGATTCCTCTAGTATGTTCAGTCACAACTGGTCTATAAAGCAATACCTGAAACAGCATCCAGAAATTCACTAGAACTAAAGATTCCTGTCATATGTTCCAATCTAGTGTCAATAAGTTAAAATCCTCCCATTAACATACAACATTTTCATATCTACATGCCTTAAGAATTTCGTCCATAACACTTACTTGCATCTCCCTATCAAGGTTTTGAGGCCTATCAATCACACCCAAAAATTAAATTTGTCCACATCCCTCGAGAAACTGTATTCAAACAGATTCCTGTGTTCAATGTTTCTAATCTATATCATGTCTAAGACAACAATTTTAAATATCTCGACTACATCGCTCACTCCACCACCCGTCCTTTTGCACCCTAATCAGTGTAATAGTTTATAACCCTGGATGTTGCATTCAAGAACATTTCTCTATCTCTCGTGAACAGGTCTCTGTTATACACAATTAATATCTTATTTACCTACTGTTGCAAGTAATCGTAGCTCCTCTTATCTTATTTTTTAGACTCCTACTTTTTGTATAGTAAACCTTAAGGGAGCAAGTCACTCGTTGCCCTCACATCTCTCTTTGTTTGTTGATCAAGTAATAAAAAAATTTTTGCCTTACTAGCAACTTATTTTGAATTTTATTTTTTTTTTATTATCACACCGCCGATTCCCACCAAGACAGGTGGCCCGAAAAAGAAAAAACTTTCACCATCATTCAACTCCATCACTGTCTTCCAGAAGGTGGCTTAACACTACAGTTTTTAAATTGCAACATTAACACCCCTCCTTCAGAGTGCAGGCACTGTACTTCCCATCTCCAGACATCAAGTCCGCCTGCCGGTTTCCCTGAAAATCCCTTCAAATGTTACTTTGCTCACACTCCAACAGCACGTCTCCAAGTATTAAAAACCATTTGTCTCCATTCACTCCTTAAAAACACCTCAACGCATCCTGCTGGAAGTACCAACCCTTCGCACACAACACCGCCTTACCCCCTCCCCTCCAACCCTTCCTAGCCGCCCCGACCCCCCTTCCATCCACCTACAGACTGATACACTCTTGAAGTCATTCTGTTTCGCTCCATTTCTCTCTACAGGTCCGTAACCACCCTCAACAACCCTTCCTCACCCTCTGGACAACAGTTTTTGGTAATCCCGCACCTCCTCCTAACTTTCCAAAACTACGATTCTCTGCAATATTCACACCACACATGCCCCAGAACTGACATCTCCACTGCCTCCAGCCTCTCCTCCTAGCAAACAATCAACACCCCACGCTCACACCATATAAGACGTTGGTAAAACTATACTCCAACATTCCCCTCTTGCCTCCAAACATAGTTCTTTTGTCTCCACAGACTCCTAAAGTGCACCACGCACTCTTTTCCCTCATCAATTCTATGATTTCACCTCATCTTTCATAACCCATCCGCTGACACGGAGTCCCTCTCCTCCCAAATATCTGAATACTTCACCTCCTCCATACTCTCTCCACTCCATTCTGATATTTCATTCTTTCATCACCTAATCTTTTTGTTATCCTCATAACCTTACTCTTCCTTATTCACCTTTAATTTCTCTTTTGCACACCTACCAAATTTCATCCCACCAATCTCCTGCATACTTCTCTCAGAATCTCCAAAGCACATGTTCTCACAAAAGCACTGTGACAACTCCCACGTTGTGTTGATTTTATCTTTTTTACTCCACGCACTCTTGCCAAGACCCCGCATTTAACTTCTCTTACAACCCCATCCAATAAATTTATTAAACAACCACGTACATCACACATTCCTTGCGTAAGCCTACTTTTTCTGGAAAAAATTTTCCCTCTTTTCCTACATACCTAAATTTGAGCCTCACTATCCCGTAAAAACTCTTCCACTGCTTTCTAACCTACCTCCTACACCATACACGTCAACATCTCACATTGCCCCCTATCCACTCTGTCCCTACCCCTTTTCCAAATCATAGAACCACAAAGACCTCTTTAGCCTTAGAAAATACCTGTTCACTTATTTGTTCACTGTAAACACCTGGCCACACACCCCCCTACCTTTCCTAAAGCCTCCTTGTCATCTCTATCCTATTCTCCGTCTTACCTTAATTCTTTTCAATTATAACTCTACCAACAACTTTACCAGGTACACTCACAGACTTATCCCCCAATAAAATTTGCACTCTCGTTTATCCCCTTTGCCTTTATACAAAGGAACTATGCATGCTCGCTGCCCAATCCCTAGGTACCTTACCCTCGTCCAACATTTATTAAAATAATTGCACCTACCACTCCAAACACTATATCCCCACCTCTTTTAACATTTCCTAATCTTTTATCCATCAATCCCGCTGTCGCTTACCCCCTTTCATTTCCTACGCTCACAACTCCCCACACCACAACTGGCTCTTCCTCAATCCTACAAGATTTATTATCTCTTGCCCTATACACGAAATCACAAGCTTCCCTACTTCATCAACAATTAACAATTCCTCAAAATATTCCTTCGCATCTTCCCATACCTCAACCCTCCATTAAATAACTCCCTCTCCTATTTTTAAACTGCAAATCCCTTTGTTCTCTACTTCTTACCTTTGTTAATCTCACTCCAAAACTTAGTCTATTTGCAACAACATTTTTGATAACATCTCACCCACATCTCTCATTTGCTCTCTTTTACATTGCGTCACCACGCTCTTAACTTCTCTCTTTTTCTCCTTATACTCCTCCCTCCTTCTTCACCTTCTACCTTGTAAACTTCTCATATGCTAAATTTTTCCTCCACCTACTACTCTCTTACATCATCATTCCACCAATCGCTCCTCTTCCCTCCCTGCACCCGACTTTCTGTAACCACAAACTTCTCTAACACATCTTTATTTTTGAATATTGTCTTTTAAACATATCCCTGAAGTATCCCGTAATATCTAATGTTTTCAACGCCTAATATGCAGCCTGATTTGTTTCCCACAAACACCCATACCTATATAAGCAATCTGTTTAAAGTCCTAGACAATCATCAATAAACCCCCTAAAATCGAATTGCTAATGCAACCACTCCAAACCCTTGCAATACCTATCACGTTTGCCATAAATTTGTCCCATTATCATGTATGAGATTGCAGTTCCTTGCAGTACCTTCTACCAATTTATACCAATTGCCCAACATCCATTCATTGCCCACTCCCTTTCTAGGCAATGATTGCTACAATAATACTGGATCCCCTCCCTTAACTGACTACTTCTATGGCTGACAATGTACTTATTCAGCGCTCCTGTCTTCCTGCCCTCCCAATGTCATTACCCAGCACTAAAATGCAATGGACTTGTTCCCATTAACCTGACATATAATCCGACCTTCTGATTATGTCACCAAACACCACTCCGAAACACAACCCTCTGTCTGACTTTTCTATCTCGGTTACAAAAAGCACCACGGTCCATTATATCTTACCTGAGATCTCCTACAATTAAAACATTCTTACCTTGATTAGCAGGGGAATCATGTACTCCTTCAACCTCACTAACCAATGAAGTGCACTCGTCCAAGTAAATATTCTTGTAAGTACTTTAGTGTCAGGTACTCATCTGTGAACTGCAGATACTTACTGAATGAGAAATAGATGGTAGCAGTGTAATATACCCATGAAGAACAAGTTGCTATAAGCATCAGTAAGAGAACGGGTGTCCAAGACTGTTCAACTACTACCATGGTTACTATACCACTAATCCTCGTGAACCAACCTCTGTGATGACTGTGAGTCCTACCTGCCACTAGTAACACACCTTTAGACCAGACACAAGGAATTTGTTGATGACGGCAAGGTAAGACATGGATGGTGCACAAAGGCAGGGCTGGTAAGGGTGCAGAGATGGTGTGAGTGGATGGCGGATGTGTAGTGGTGGCAGATGTGGTGGAAAGTGATGGCAGAGATGGTGTATGGGTGGCAGGAGTGTAGTGATGCATTGATGATATGGTGCAGGATTTGTAGTGGATGCAAGGATGGTGGTAGTGGGTGGCAGGGATGGTGGTAGTGATGACAGAGAGTGTTAGTGGTGCAGGGATGGGGTTGTATATCATTGATGTGGTATGGTGCAGAGATGGTGGTATGGGGGCAGGATGGTGTATGAGGTGCAAGAGATGGTGGTAGTGGTGACAGGATGGTGTATGGGTGGCAGAGATGTGGTAAGGTGGCAGTGGATGGTGTAGTGTGGCACAGAGGGTGGTAGGGTGGCAGGATGTGGTAGGGTGCAGAAGATGGTGTAGTGGTACAGATGTGTTGGGTGCAGAGATGGTGGGTAATGGGGTGACGAGGGATGGTAGTGGGTGGCAGGATGTGGAGTGGTGGCAGAGATGTGGAGTGTCAAGGGATTGGTATGGTCAGGATGTGGTAGTGTGGCAGAGATGGGGGTATGGTGCAGAGATATGGTATGGGTGGCAGAGATGGTGGTAGTGGTGACAGGATGGTGGTAGTGGTGGCAAGATGGGGCTATGTGGCAAGAGTAATAGTGGTGGCGAGATGGTGGATGAGGTCAGGATGTGGCAGTGGGTGCAGAGATGGTGGTAGTGGGATGACAGTGGAGGTTTTAGTGGGTGCAAGATGTGGTAGTGGTGACAGGGAAGGTGGTATGTGCAGAGAGGTGGTAGTGGGACAGATGGGTTAGTGGTGGCAAGATGGTGTAGTGGTGACAATGGTGGTATGGTTGGCAGAGAGGTGTAGTGGGTGGCAGGATGGTGATGGTGACAGGATGGGGTATGGTGGCAGAGATGTGTAGTGGTGACGGATGGTGTATGGTTGCAGAATAAAAAATGTTAGTGGGTCAGGATTGGTGGTAGTGGTAAGAGATGTGGAGTGGGTGACAGGTGGGTATGGTGCAAATGGTTAGTGGTGACAGAGGTGGTATGTGGCAGAATGGTAGTGTGATAGGATGTGGAGTGGTCAAGAGGTGTAGTGGTGATCAATGGGGTAGTGGGTGGCAGTGAGATGTGTAGTGGTGGCAAGATTTGGTATGGGGACAGGATGTGGATATGGCAGAGATGTGGTAGTGGTGGCAGAGAGGTGGTAGTGGTGGCAGAGAGTGTAAGTGGTACAGGGAGGTACCACAGTCATAAATGTATCGGATTGAAAACTTAGTATATCCCGATGCGGATTGATGAGGATTCGTACGGTCTTTTGCTGAGCGATTAAAATTGTGCATGCGGAATGCGATATCCAACTACTAAACACAGAAGACAGGTGGTGGTATGGTGCAGGTGTGGTGTAGGGTGGACAGGTGTGGCACAAAACCGGGTGTGTAGTGGTGCAATGTGGTGTAGTGGTGACAGGATGCGGCACAGATAACTGGTTGTAGTGGGTGCAGGTGTGGTGGAGTGGTGACAGGATGTGGCACAAGACGGGTGTGTAGTGGTGCAAGGTGTGGTGGTAGGGGGTGACAGGGGTGTGGTATGGGTGACAGGGGTGTGGTATGGGACAGGATGGTGGGCACTAAGCAGGTGTGGTAGGGTACAGGGATGGTGGGCACACGACGGGTTTGTGGTAGTGGTGGCGATGTGGTGGAGGGTGACAGGTGTGTGGTAAGGGTGACAGGGAAGGAGGCACAGAAGACAGGGGTGGTGTGTGTCATTTCACGGTAGTGGGACAGGGTTGGTGCACAGAAAACAGGGTGGTGTAATGGTGACAGGTTGGTTAGTGTACAGGATGGTGGCACAAGACATTGGTAGTGGTAGCAGGTGTGGTGTTAGTGGGTGACAGTATGTCAGAAACAGGGTGGTGGTAGTGGGTGACGTGTGGCAGTGTAGCAGGTGGGTGAGTTGTACCGGATGGTGCAAGAAGACAGGTGGTGGTAGTGTGACAGGATGGTGGCACAAGGCAGGTGGTGGTATGGGTGCAGTGTGTGGATGGGGGACAGGGATGTCACAGAAGACAGGTGGTGGTATGGGTGGCAGGTGTGGTGTATGGGTGACATGGAGTGGCACAGAAGACAGGGGTGTGATAGTGGTGGCAGGTTGTGGTAGTGTAACAGGGTGTGGCACAAAAACAGGGTGTGGTAGGGGTGGGCAGGTGTTTTGGTATTGTGACAGGATGTGCACAGAAACAGGGTGTGTATGGGTGGCAGGGTATGTGGTAGTGGGTGGCAGTTGGTGTTAGTGGTGACAGGGATGGTGGCACAAGACAGGGTGGTGTATGTGGCAGGTGTTGTGGTAGTGTACAGGACGTGGCACAGAAGACAGGGTGGTTTAGTTGGCAGGTGTAGTGGTAGTGGGTAACAGGATGGGCCCCAAACAGGGTTGTTATGGTGCAGGTGTGGTGGTATGGGTAACGAGGGGTGGTGGCACAAACAGTGTGTAGAGGGGCAGGTGTATGGTATGGGTGACAGATGAGGCACAAACAGTGTGGTAGTGTGCAGGTGTGGTGGTAGGGTGACTGGTTGGTGGCACAGAAGACGGTGGTGTGGAGTGGTGCAGTGTGGTGGTAGTGGTGGCAGGTGTGGTGTAGTGGTGCATGTTGTGTGGTAGTGGGTGACAGGTCGTGGCACAGAAGACAATGGTGGTGGTAGTGGGTGTCAGTGTGGTGTAGTGGCAGGTGTGATGTATGTGACAAGGGCAGTGGCACCAAGACAGGGTGGGGATAGTGGGGGCAAGTAAGGTGTAGTTGGAGCAGTTGTGGTGTAGTGGGTGGACAGGGATGTGCACAAGACAGGAGGTGTATGGTGCAGTGTGTGGTATGGGTGACCGGATTGCACAGAAGACAGGGGGTGTTAGTGTGGCAGGTGTGGTGTTATGGCACAAAACAGGGTGTGTAGTGGTGGCAGGTGGGTGGTATTGGGTGCAGGGATCGTGCACTGAAACAGGGTGTGGAGTTGTGCAGGGTGGGGTAGTGGGTGCAGGGTGATGTAGTGTGACAGGGATGTGTGGCACAGCAGTGTGGTAATGGTGCATTGGGAGGTGACAGGATGTGGCAACAGAAGACAGGGGTGGTGAGTGGGTGGCAGCGTGGTGTAAGTGGTGACTGGGGTGGTGCATGTTACAAAAAATAACCGCGATTGCTTAAAGCTTTAGAGATCTCCAGTGAATACAAAAGAACTGCCCTTCTACATCGCAGCCTGTTACTGTTTTCTAACAATAGTTAGTATCCTTGTCCAATTATCCATTAATATTCAGTATGGTTCAATAGTGCTTTAGATTACAAACTGTAGCTACTAACTAAGAATTAAAAATTTTAATATATTTTATAAGTCTATAATTGTCTAGAGTAAATTATCAAAGTAAATTAAATCACAGCAATCAAATAAAATACATCTTCTCGAGTTCATATTATGTCGAAAGCACATATCCACTATTTAAAGTCTTAAAGTACCGTCTGTACATTAACATTAATAAGATAATTAAAAAATATGTACAAGGTGTGGCTGCTGTAAGGCTCATAATATCGTTAGCTAATTCCAAAGACTCGAATAAACTAAACAAGTACTGACAAGGCTCAAATAAACCTAACTTCTTGACCGATGCAACTCGAACAGTCTGCTTGAACATCAAAATCTAAGCCCAATAGCATGCAATATCATGCGACTGAACACAGATAGAACCTGGAAATAATATATTCGACACAAATAAGGGACCATCAGCTGATCCTCCACAAAGTTACAAAACTCCCATAATACTAAATCTTCTTCAGCATAGAAAACCTCGATTGTGACAATGCCCAAAACCATAGCAAAATTAGTCAGAAGCTATACTAAGGAAACTGAGATGTTTAGAGTGTCTATGGTACCACAACATCAGTACAACTCGAAAATCACAAATCTTACAATGTTCAGTGAACAAAGTTCTACAGAACTAACAAGAATAATGAGACAACATTCTGTCAACCACCAACGAGTCCCAGCAACGCAGACAGACAACTGTCCAACCAGCAACGATCTCCATCAACTGTCAACAGACAAGCTGTCCTATCCCAAGCAAGCGAGTCTCCACATACTCAGACAGCAACTGTCCAACCACAAGCGAATCTCTACAGACTTATCAGACTGAGAAGCTTCCGACGCACAACGAGTCTCCACAACGGACAATTTCACGAAAGTGAGGACACCCCCCCCTCGATCACAGTGATACTACGTGACAACTGCGCCAGAAGCCGCATATAACACGACAAGCAAATTTACAGTATTTGACAATCAACCTAACTGACCCATTTTTATATACATCCTAACAACATAAGCAATTTACAATATAATAGTCAAATAATAATATTAAACCCCATACATTTACGATTTAGCTATCATCTCAATAAACAATAAACAATTAAATGAAAAATAATATACCATTACATATATCATAATCATGTAACCCATTCAGGTTTGCAACACCCCCCCCAACACGAAGAGAGGTCGCAACGAGGAGTTCATTGTCTTTCACATATTTCTGATCACTCATATCAATACAATTATCATTATCAATTAAACGAGTCCTCTCTTTGTGCCAAGCACCCTAAACAATTTCACACGTCCGTCACGAGGATATGCCCCTAGTACAGGCAGTACACATATCGTATATCTTCATACTCGTTATATACATCATATCGGAACAGATATAGTAACGAGCAGCACGAGGCTCGATCATAGTAGAGGAACTGCATTCCTCTCTAAAGTATGTTGTGGAATGCTAGGCAGTATGACTGGCATCTGAGAAATAAAACAGCTTAAGGTGTGTAGTGAGAGGGGGGTCTTGCGGCAGGACAGTGTTGCGTCACGCGCAGCTACATCACCCCCCCACACTACCACTCAACCACTCACTGTGTCTCCTCCTCACACATTACTGTGAATCTAAAATATAATAATTAACATGACATGAGTATATATAGTTAAATAGGGCTGGAGGGATTAAGTTACTTACGATTTTGACATAGCAAGTAACAAAACGTATTTGGCATAAAAATACGTAAATTTTAAATGAAGTGCCCCAATACTCGCAAAATGTTCAAAGACAACCACAAAATTTTTTTTTCTAATACTAATTCTTCTGGTGTCGTTTTGAGCTTAGATGAAAGTACAGATAGGATGGAGATTATCATGGATTGAATTGTGGAAGCAGCACAGCACCCACTCATAGCAACTCGCATCTATATGTAAAAAAATGGACAGATTGAATTGAGTCTCTCAACACAAGAGCAAGGAAAGCAGGCGCTCAAACCTTTGAACGATCGAAACAATCTCTATCCAGGTGAACTACTGTTGGGGCATGTGTGGGGGGTGGGCTACATAACAATAGTATGTGAGTGAGGTGTGGTGCTGCTTGCCTGTCACTTGACACACGTTCCGACGTCCGCACATGATCACTACTGGACCTTCATCTTTGCCCAAGTAATATGTTTGCCAGTTTACCGAGTGTCTCTTGACACACCAAATTCCTCCTATGGACTATGTGAGCAAAAACAATGCTTGTTCACGAAATGTAACTGGTAACACTACGAGATTCTTGACTGTGGTTGGAAACACTACTCACTGACAACTGCTGTATTTTTCTCCATCAGTA